ATATATATAACTTGTATTATTTAGCTATGATAGTGTTATATTAGAGCCTGAGTGTGATAATGACTGGGTACAATGTTCAAATATCAGTGATTCAATGCTGTTCACGATGTTCACAGCGCTAGCCACAGCACCACAGCATTATTTCGTTCATCTAGGAATCTTCAAATGATTTCTTAGGTTCCTTTTCAAAATAAACGTGTGGTCAATTATTCATTTACAGGAATTAGTGACCAGGATTGTGATAATAGCAGGATTGTGGCTATAATTAGCGTTGTGCGTAGTATTGTGGAAGGAGAAATTTTGATGAGGGAGGGAGGGCGAGAATTGAGGTAGCCTCATTGTGTGTGTGTGGCTGCCACTCTTGTTTTGCTCACCATACTAGCTTAGTGGTTCGCTATGGGCAAAACATATGTACATGGGTATATATAGTGTGTGTATATAGTGTAAGAACAGCAACAGGAGAATGTTGAGAGGAGCTATTTTGGTGAGGGAGGCGATGTAATCGTAGCGTCGTCTGCTGTGTGATTTTTCATGCAGTGTATGGTGGCCACTGTACTGTTTGGACACAGTACCGGCTTACTTAAATAGTTCTGGTAAATAAAACATGTAGATAGGTATATAGAACATGTGTAATAAGACCTATTACAGTATGGTGGGAGGAGCAATGTTGGCGAGTAAGATGTTGGAGTGAGGGAGACTGGCTGGGTGTGGCTGCTCTCACTCGAGGTGTTCTCAATGTGTTCATGGCCAAATGCTCCTATTGGCCCATATGAGGCAGCTGCTATTGGCCCATATGAGGCAGCTGCTATTGGCCCATATGAGGCAGCTCCTATTGGCCCATACGGGGCAGCTGCTATTGGCCCATATGGGGCAGCTGCTATTGGCCCATACGAGGCAGCTGATATTGGCCCATACGAGGCAGATGATGTTGGCCCATACGAGGTAGCTGCTATTGGCCCATACGAGGCAGCTGATATTGGCCCATACGAGGCAACTGATATTGGCCCATACGAGGCAACTGATATTGGCCCATACGAGGCAGCTGATGTTGGCCCATACGAGGTAGCTGCTATTGGCCCATACGGGGCAGCTGATATTGGCCCATACGAGGTAGCTGCTATTGGCCCATACGAGGCAGCTGATGTTGGCCCATACGAGGTTGCTGCTATTGGCCCATACGAGGCAGCTGATATTGGCCCATACGAGGCAGCTGATATTGGCCCATACGAGGTAGCTGCTATTAAGAACATAAGAACATAAGAACAAAGGTAACTGCAGAAGGCCTATTGGCCCATACGAGGCAGCTCCTATTCTATAACCACCCAATCCCACTCATATACTTGTCCAACCCGTGCTTGAAACAATCGAGGGACCCCACCTCCACAATGTTACGCGGCAATTGGTTCCACAAATCAACAACCCTGTTACTGAACCAGTATTTACCCAAGTCTTTCCTAAATCTAAACTTATCCAATTTATATCCATTGTTTCGTGTTCTGTCCTGTGTTGATACTTTTAATACCCTATTAATATCCCCCCGGTTATGTCCATTCATCCACTTGTAAACCTCTATCATGTCACCCCTAACTCTTCGCCTTTCCAGTGAATGCAACTTAAGCTTTGTTAATCTTTCTTCATATGAAAGATTTCTAATTTGGGGAATTAACTTAGTCATCCTACGCTGGACACGTTCAAGTGAATTTATATCCATTCTATAATATGGCGACCAAAACTGAACTGCATAATCTAAATGGGGCCTAACTAGAGCAAGATATAGCTTGAGAACCACACCAGGTGTCTTGTTACTAACGCTGCGATTAATAAATCCAAGTGTCCGATTTGCCTTATTACGAACATTTATGCATTGATCCTTTTGTTTTAAATTCTTACTAATCATAACTCCCAGATCCCTTTCGCAATCCGACTTCGCAATCACAACACCATCTAGCTCGTATCTTGTAACTCTATCATCATTACCTAACCTCAGAACTTTACATTTATCAGCATTAAACTGCATCTGCCAATCCTTTGACCATTTCAAAACCCTATCTAGATCAACTTGAAGTGATAGTGAGTCCTCCTCCGAATTAATTTCCCTACCGATTTTCGTATCATCGGCAAATTTGCAAATGTTGCTACTCAAACCTGAATCTAAATCATTTATATATATTATAAACAACAGAGGTCCCAGGACAGAGCCTTGAGGCACTCCACTTACAACATTTTCCCACTCTGACTTGATTCCATTTATACTAACTCTCTGTTTCCTTTGGTATAGCCATGCCCTAATCCAGCTTAATATAGCACCCCCAATACCATGAGACTCTATTTTTTTAATCAGTCTTTCATGTGGCACTGTATCAAAAGCTTTGCTAAAGTCAAGGTATACAACATCGCAATCCTTACCACTATCAACTGCCTCAACAATGCTAGAATAAAAAGATAACAAATTTGTTAAACATGAACGGCCATTTATAAAACCATGTTGCGACTCAATTATTAATTTATGTTTTTCATGATGAAGACGAATTTTATTTGCTATTATAGATTCGAGTAACTTTCCCACAATAGACGTTAGGCTAATTGGTCGATAGTTAGACGCAAGTGATCTATCTCCTTTCTTAAAAACTGGTATCACATTAGCAACTTTCCAAAACTCTGGCACTCTGCCTGACTCTATTGATTTATTAAATATGGTTGACAGTGGGTCACAAAGCTCCTCTTTGCATTCTTTAAGCACCCTAGCAAACACTTCATCCGGCCCTGGGGATTTGTTTGGTTTGAGTTTTACTATTTGTTTAAGAACATCCTCCCTGGTAACTGCTAAACTCGTCAACCTGTCCTCGTCCCCACCCACATAGACTTGTTCGGCTGAAGGCATATTGTTAAGTTCCTCTTTAGTAAATACAGATACAAAATATTTATTAAAAATACTACTCATCTCTTCATCACTATCTGTTATTTGACCTGTCTCAGTTTTTAATGGACCTATCCTTTCCCTAGTCTTAGTACGATATAACTGAAAAAACCCTTTAGGATTTGTCTTTGCTTGCCCTGCTATGCGAACTTCATAGTTTCTTTTTGCTTTCCTTATCTCTTTTTTAACATTTCTAACCAGTTGTACGAATTCCTGTTCTAAAGAGACCTCCCCATTTTTAATCCTTTTGTACCAAGCTCTCTTTTTACCTATAAGGTTCTTCAAATTCTTTGTTATCCACTTTGGGTCATTAGTATACGATCTATTCAATTTGTATGGTATACTACGTTCCTGTGCTTTGTTTAGAATATTCTTAAATAAGTTATATATTGAATCCACATCGAAATCCCCATTTAAGTCACCTATCGCTGGGTTCATGTCTCGCTCCAAGACCGGCCCACACCCCATACCCAAGCCTTTCCAATCAATTTGACCCAAAAAATTTCTTAGGCTATTAAAATCAGCTTTTCGAAAATCTGGCACTTTAACAGAATTTTCTCCTACTGGTCTATTCCATTCTATGCTAAATCTGATTTCTTTGTGATCACTGCTCCCTAGCTCACTCCCTATTTCGATGTCATTAATTTGCGTTTCCCTGTTAGTTAACACTAAATCTAAAATATTATTTTCCCGTGTTGGTTCCTTAATGTGTTGCGTAAGAAAGCAATCGTCAATTAATTCTAGAAAATCTTCTGCTTCACTATTCCCTGTTTTGTTCAACCAGTTTATTCCGCTAAAATTAAAGTCACCCATGACATAAATACTGTTAGATCTAGATGCTCTAGATATTTCATCCCATAGATGCTTTGCTTCCATTCTGTCTAAATTTGGTGGCCTATATATTACTCCTATTGGCCCATACGAGGCAGCTGCTCTTGGCCCATACGGATCAGCTGCTATTGGCCCATACGGATCAGCTGCTATTGGCCCATACGAGGCAGCTGATATTGGCCCATACGAGGCAGCTGCTCTTGGCCCATACGGGGAAGCTGCTATTGGCCCATACGAGGCAGCTGATATTGGCCCATACGAGGCAGCTGCTATTGGCTCATACGAAGCAGCTGCTACGCGGTGTTCTGAATGTGTTGATGGTGAATGTATATAGTGTGTAAATAGATTGTATATATACACAAATTAGCATGGTACATAGTAAATATGTGCTGCATATGTGTACACAAGTTTCATGCACGTAACACAGTGTCTACGGACAGTACGGATGTTGTACTGCGATATTATAGTGTACGTGTTCATTATACATTGGATTGGCACATAAAAACAATGAAAATGTATTTGGAAAGGTGCGGAAAAAATGAACGAAAATATATTCGCGGCAACTCGTGTGCCCCGCCCCGAGCACCCCACCGCCCCCGAGAGCTTACGGCACGGGCGCACGGGGAATGATGACGTCACGCCCCAACTTCCGGACCCCATAGCAGCCAAAGTAAGTACAATCTCGACTTTTTTTTTACATACCCATACTGAGTAAAGGGTTTTTGACACTTTAAAAAGAAAAAAGAATTTTTTCCAGAGAATTTATTTCCTGCGCACTGCGGGGGTGTCACATTTGGAGGCAACGCAGTTAAGGGGTTAAGAAGCAATAAAATGCTTACCTTCAAAAGCTAAGATGGTTAGGTTAGGTAGTGGTTTTCTATTTAGCTTTTCAGGTAAACTCAAATATTCACAATATATTTGACAGTACAATTTAATACTAAGTGTAAATAAGTACAATTCCTGACTGTCACACATAGTACATAATTGCACTTATGGGGCTGTTACATTTATCTCCCCATTTTTGGAGGACAGGCTGAGATTGATATAGGTAGTAAATTATGGTCAGGAATGCATCTTCATAAGGATTATGCTATAAAGTTCCTTTTTAGCACTGCTTCGGTTAACACTCCCTTTTTCAGGAATGCATCCCAAGCATTTGACGAAGTATGGATGTACTTAATTTGTATCGTGTTATGCCATTTTGACCTCTAGTCTACTTTCATATCCTACAATTATCACTTTGCATTTTCAGAAATATACTTTGTTCCTGTACAATGTGGACAAGTCCAACAAAGTTCGTCCAGTGGCACTTGATGTGTTCTGCAATTTATTGCATAAATGTGGATCCCACATAAGTGTTGAAGATATAAATGCAGATCAGTTTATTGAGAGGCTCTGTCTTGACATACGAAGTCCAAAGGGTTCTACAGGTAAAGTACAGTTAAAGTTATCTTATTGATTAGATGCCGGGTGACCATTTTTTCAATTTGTTCTAATTTATTGGTGTCGGGGACTAAAGTAGTGTATGTAACATCTTACCTTCCATACTCCTTTAACCCTTTAACTGCGCAACGCGCCTGCAGGCCCATGTCTGGGGTGCGCTACGCGCCTCCAGGTATTTGTATTTTTCGCATTCCATTCAAAACTCCCAGGGCTACATGGGGTTCACATCAGCTTCCTCAGGGCTCTTGTAAACAGACTCCATCTTTAAAAAAAATCATGGTCCACATTCCTGGGTGTGAGAGCCTCAGTAGTGAGTGAGCAACCAAGGCTGGTGCTCGCAGCATGAGCGCACAGCACTGCTGTTCAGCGTGTGACCACAGCATCGCCTAATAATGTCAAAATAAATAAATTAAATAAATATATATATATATATCGTACCTAGTAGCCAGAATGCACTTCTCAGCCTACTATGCTAGGCCCGATTTGCCTAATAAGCCAAGTTTTCCTGAATTAATATATTTTCTCTATTTTTTTTCCTATGAAATGATAAAGCTACCCATTTCATTATATATGAGGTCACTTTTATTTTATTGGAGTTAAAATTAACGTGGATATATGACCGAACCTAACCAACCCTACCTAACCTAACCTAACCTATCTTTATAGGTTACGTTAGGGTAGGGAGCCGAAAAAGTTAGGTTAGGTAGTCGAAAAAACATTAATTCATGAAAACTTGGCTTATTAGGCAAATTAGGCCTTGCATAGTAGGCTGAGAAGTGCGTTCTGGCTATTAGGTACGACACACACACACACACACACACATATATATATATATATATATATATATATATATAATATAAATAAATAACACCTGTATTATTTAGCCATGATAGTATTATAGAAGAGCCTGAGTGTGATAATGACTGGGTACAATGTTCAAATATCAGTGATTCAATGCTGTTCAAGATGTTCACAGTGCTAGCCACAGCACCACAGCATTATTTCGTCCATCTAGGAATCTTCAAACGACTTCTTAGGTTCCTTTTCAAAATAAACTTGTGGTCAATTTTCAATCAATCCATTTACGGGAATTAGTGACCAGGATTGTGGTTATAATTAGCGTTGCGCGTAGTATTGTTGAAGGAGGAATTTTGGTGAGGGAGGGAGGAAGGGAGAGAATTGAGGTAGCCTCACTGTGTGGCAGCCACTCTTGTTTTGCTCACCATACTAGCTTCGTGGTTCGCTATGGGGAACACACATGTACGTGGGTATATACAATGTGTGTGTGTGTCTGTATATAGTGTAATAACAGCAACAGGAGTATGTTGAGTGGAGCTATTTTGGTGAGGGAGGTGACGTCGTAATCGTAGCGTCGTCTGCTGTCTGCTTTCTCATGCAGTGTATGGTGGCCACTGTACTGTTTGGACACAATACCGGCTTACTTGCATAGTTCTGGTGAATAAAACATGTAGATAGGTATACATAACATATGTAAATAGTGTAATAAAAACCGTAACAGTATGGTGGGAGGAGGGGTGATGGCGAGTACGATGTTGGAGGAGAGAGGGAGGACTGGCTGGCTGGGTGTGGCAGCTCACACTTGCAGAGTTCTGAGTGTGTTTATGGTGAATGTATATACTGTGTGACAGTATATAGTGTGTAAATAGATTGTATATATACATAAATTAGCATGATACATGGTAAATATGTGCAACATACGTATACACAAGTGTCATGCACGTAACACAGTGTCTTCGGACAGTACGGATGTTTTGCTGCCATAATATAGTGTACGTGTTTATTATACATAGGATTAGCATGTAAAAACAAATAAAATGGATTTGGAACTGTGTGCAAAAAATGAACAGAAATATATTCGCGGCAACTCACACGCCCCGCCCCAGGCGCCCTACTGTTTTTTTTTTTTTTTTTTTTTTTTTTTTTTTTTTTTGAGATATATACAAGAGTTGTTACATTCTTGTTCCGGGAGCGTACGTCACGGGTGAACGGGGAATGATGTCGTCACACGCCAACTTACGGACCAAAGTAGCCAAAGCAAGTACAATTTTGAATTTTTTTGGACATACCCATTCTGAAGGAAGGCTTTTTGACACTTTAAAAAAACAAAAGAATTTTTTTGAGAATTTATTTCCTGCACACTGGGGGGTGTCATATTTGGAAGCCGAGCAGTTAAGGGGTTAAAGGTTTTTGCATGTTCTCTCTGATTGGTGTTTGTTGATCTTGTATGCATGTCATCTCATTCTATATTTTGTCATCCAGGAATTCTAACCTCATCTATATTCATAAATACAGTGTCTTTGTTCTGGGAGTTTATTTTGTTGCTTACCTTTTAACTCTCTAATTTTGCTACCTGTATATTCTATTTTTTGTTGTAATAAGTGATAACTATTTTTTCATCATTGCACCATCTATGTTCTCAAATATTACTCATAGGATGACTGTCATTACAGAGGCCTCGCTCTCCTATTGATATAGTCCTGATGTAATATGTGTAAGTCACTGCAAAGTTCCTCTTCCTGTTTTTCATTAGTGTACTGTTGCAGAGGCAGTAGGTAACATGGAAACCTATACTCATTTGTTTCCACTCCAGTGCTAAATGTTTTTCCACAAAATTTCATCAATCATCATTTACTCCAGTCACTCGGCCTGTCATGTTGTGTTGTTGATAAAGCATTCTTTTAGAATCCTTTGGGATGTTAACATCACATTCACACACACATACTGTATATGTAACTTTGGATTGTTTCTGGTACGTTATTGATATAGACTTTAAACATTATTGTGGCTAGTACTGATCACTGTGGCACTCCCCCATTACATAGTTACTCCAGTCTGATAACATTTGTTTCCCTCATCTTTGTGTGTGTTATATGTGCTAAATTGTCCCTCTTCTACTCCAGTGTCTCGCACTCCTCCCAGCTGTTCCAGCTTCTTAAGCAGTGTTTTTTGTGGGACCCTGTCCAATAATTTACTTTTAAACTGTTGGGTAGTATGTTGTTGGTTTCCAAAGATGTGTAGACAAGTAGGTGCCATGGAGTTTTATTTGTAGTAGTAGTATTTATGTGCCTGCACTGCTGCTAATCTTCATCTCCTGTCGTATCATTATTGAAGGCATTGCACCTCATCCAGACCTATTTTGCTTGTCTTAACAATAGGTTCATACACCTCCTTGATACGGTGATGAAATTTGGTTGGATTTGATTTCCCATTAATAGGGACATGAAGTTTGTTAGGGTTATTGCAGTCCCCATAGGCCATCATCTTCCTTGAGGTACAGCCCACAACAGTTGCCTAACTCCTGAGTATCTATGGACCATTTGGTGTACAGAGGCATAAGGTATAAGAAAATGCATACAAACCTCTCCCTATCTGGGAATTGAACCCATTGACCATTTTAATATTAGCCAACTTTGTTGACCACTTACTAGTGCGTACAGAAATTGGCTCGTACTGTGGACCTTCATGTTGGACCATGCTTGTATTAGTGCCAACTTTATGAAACAGATGTTTCATATGGGTAGTATTTAAAAATGCCATTGTAAACATTTAATGTACTGTACATACAACATTGGGCTAGGAAAATCTGGTAGCATTATGAACAAATCCACAAGGGCCATGATGAGGCTTTGAACCTACGTCTGAGAGGATCCCAGATGCACTTTAATTGACTGTGCCACGACATGGTCAAACCCGGGTCTGTCTCTTGGAGAGACTGCAGGATCCGTGTGAGGGCAGTTGCACTCCGGGTTGCAATTCTTTTGACAATGTCGTGGCACAGTCGATTAAGGCGCGTCTTGTCTTGAGATTCTTGAGGTTATCTTGAGATGATTTCGGGGCTTTAGTGTCCCCTCGGCCCGGTCCTCGACCAGGCCTCCACCCCCAGGAAGCAGCCCGTGACAGCTGACTAACTCCCAGGTACCTATTTACTGCTAGGTAATAGGGGCATTCAGGGTGAAAGAAACTTTGCCCATTTGTTTCTGCCTCGTTCGGGAATCGAACCCGCGCCACAGAATTACGAGTCCTGCGCGCTATCCACCAGGCTACGAGGCGTCTGGTATCCTCTCGTACGTAGGTTTGAACCCTCATCACGGCCCTTGTGGATTTGTTCATTTGATGCATCACTTTAATGTGATTTGTGTGTGTAGTGGTATCATTATATTTTTATAATTGCTGTCAAGAGAGTATACGAGGTGAATGTAACCATTTGTGTTTAATAAACCTGGAGCAGAGGAAAACATATTAAGCATGCAATATGTTTAAGTTTAGAACAGGGACCCAAAGTCTTAACATTAACGATGCAGTATGGCGTAAAAAATTTAGTAGACGAACGTTCGATAATGACGCAGTATGGCGTCAAAATGTACAAATTTGGCCAGATTTTTACTTTGCTTTGGGAAGGGCGCTCCTCGGTTTTGGACTTTATATGCATGTACTCCTGTAGGGAATTTTATTGTGAACACATTGATACCAAAGTGAAAGACCTAGGACAAGAATTGAGGTAACAAAGTTGAAAAGAGTATACACATTTTATTGCTTTTGAGCGCTCGCTGCTAACGCGCTGCCACTTTCTCCGATTGCTGCGGGAGGTACGTCGCAATGTATATGCTTTATATGCATATACTCCTGTAGGGAATTCTATTGGGAGCACAATGATACCAAAATGAAAGAATTAGGACGAGAATTGAGCTGGCAAAGTTGAAAAGAGTATACAGAGCACCACTTGGTTTCTGAACTTTAGTTACCCGAAACTTCCCGTTTCCCGATTGGGGTTGGGGAGTCATGCTACACGAACAATGTTCGTGTAGGAAGCGGTCCGCCAAGCGTCGCGCCGGCCCGTGGTGATGGGTGGGAGATGGTCCAGTTTGCCGCCTTCTACCCTGTGATTTCACAGATTCACAGCCTATTGTTCCTATTATTTTGATTTGTCACGAGGCTGGAGTGTTCATTCTGTAATTTTGTTTTACAT